AGGAACAGAGCCAGACCCACATGACTTCATGGGTGGGAACCAATGAAATAAATGCCATGTACTAACTTCTTTTCTCTGTATTTGATTTGCCTAGTTTCATATTGGCCATACTTAAACTAGACACCATGGGAAGTTTCATTGTAGAGTAATATTAGTCCAGTAATATTCCTGTATGAAATTGATAGCTACAGCCAAATACTTGTGTTATTCATAGAAGATTTGGGGGGTAAATGCCCGTATTAAGGAAAAAAAAAACTTATTATAATGCTTTAACTGGTAATCATAGCACCTTCAACTATTCATTCCTTTTCCCCTTTATCTTCTGCCAGCATTTGGAATAGACAAGTTATTTACCTGGTGCATCAAACCAAGACTTTATTCCTGCCAAATCTTATTCCTTTGCTTCCTCTTCTTAATTAGGTTGCAACCATTTTAGTTTTCCATGAAAATGGAAATTGGAGTATAGAAACATAGAACTGGAAAATTAGATGGAATTATACCAGAGAATACTTGGGAATCTGCTAAATTCCAAATAGAGTCTTCCTTGCCCTCCTTTGTATAGTAAAGGCACATTGTCTTCCTGGCAATGAGATTAATCACTAGACCCAGCACAGTGACTATCTTTTCTGTCAGTTTTTTTTGCCCCCAGTCATACTGAGCCCAAAATGGTCAGAGAGCCCAAAATTTCAGTTTTCAATTCAGAGGAATAGAATTATGGGTATGTTCCTTGTTGCAGGTACTCCTCCTTTGCGCATGAGGACTTTTAAACCCACCAAGCCTATTATCATGAGAATAAGAAATAGAATGTGCCCAATGGATTACTGCTGTGATAATGAAAGAGAACATTACACTTTTACCCCTTAACCTAGATCTATGCTTCCTCTTAATTCAGGAGGGACACAGAGCCTCCTCTGCTGTGGATGTACTCAGGTGGACATTAAGTAGGACACTAATATCTGTAGGATAACATCCCAACTTCAAGAATGTTGTCAAACAAATAGTGCCAAAATTGAGACAGAGCAGGCTGTTTTACTATTCTGTCCAGCCAGGTCTGTACCGCTAATTAGAGACATGATGAAATCAGTGAATCCCATTTGAGCCCATTGCCCTCTTTTTGCTATAAATAGTTGCTGTTTGGAGGTGACATAGTGTGAGTTATTATGGTAATGGATAGGCTATTCTGTAAATCCATGAATAGCAGTACTGATAGGACTAAAGGCAGCAAATGCACAACTATACCTAGACCACGTGTCTATCTCTATGATAGCAATGCTACCCCTTCTTGATGGAAGAGTTTCCATGAAGTCCACCTGTTATCAGGTGGTTGACTGGGTTTTCTGGTAAATAATGCCATGTGAAGGGTTTATTAATGATCAATGTTATAGGCAGGTCATGGTGGCAAACTGGCATGCACGTGGTGGCCATACCGTGATTGGATCGTTAAGAACCTCCTCTGCTATGGATATGCTCTGATAGGCACTAAGCTGGACACTAGTATCTTCAAATGTTTACCTTTTTATACCTCCTGACAAGTCCATACACTTTCCTTTCCCTAGACTTCCTGTCACTAATCCTGTAATTTTACTTTTCTATATCCCTGACCAGGTGGACTCTTATTAGTTCCTGTGCAGAAGTCAGGATGGCCCCATGCTGCAATCCAAGTGTCCTTCCACAAGAAGTGGAAAATATATATCTTGTTCAAAAGCCTTCCAACTGGGAGAATTTATGTTTATTAGTCTTTTACTATCACTCCTGAATCAGATTATAGTACAGTGAAGTGAAAGTAGCTCAGTCATGTCCGACTCTTTGCAACCCCATGAACTATACAGTTCATGGAATTCTCCTGGCCAGAATACTGGAGTGGGTAGCCTTTCCCTTCTCCAGGGGACCTTCCCAACCCAGGGATTAAACCCAGGTCTCCTGCACTGCAGGTGGATTCTTTACCAGCTGAGCCACAAGGGAAGCAGAGCCTGTCCAATTCCAATGTGTTGAAGTACATCATGCAAACTTGCCCATAAACCAGGCCTGCACTTATTCCTCCTCTGCCAGTTTATGTTAGAAAACATACCCTGAAGTATAGATGTGAAATAAAAGAAAGAAGATAAAGTAGAGGCTGCCTATATGTAGAGTTCACCTATATGTTCTGGTCTAGTTCCATATAAACCCCTTCTATCTTATAGTGGAATATAGCTGTATATGTTTAGTTTTATGGTCACTGAATCAGATAAAAATCAGTTCACAACTGGCAGTTTGGTTGCATCGTCACTTGGCATCCCATGCTCAGACTGATTATTTTTACTATAGGTCAATAGAGAACTGCCTTTGAATCGGGGAATATTTATCAGCACAGGAGAAAATGGCCTTTCTGTAAACCTTGTAATGCCTGTGGTTCAGTTGTCATGTGGTAATTCTCAGGAGTTGCACACAAAATCAGTTTGCATGGATGCTTATATATCATCATCATATCTGCTGGGTCACAAGGTGAAGATGGTAGGGAAGGTTGTACCATGCCCTGATATGCTCCACAACCTCCTCCTGCTCAGGTTCTACTCAGAACTGGCAGCTTTACAGGTTGAAGCGAAGCGAAAGTTGGTCAGTCATGTCTGACTCTTTGTGACCCCATGGATTATAGCTGCCAGGCTCCTCTGTTCATGAAATTCTCCAGGGAAAAATACTGGAATGTATTGCCATTTCCTTCTCTAGGGACCTTCCTGACCCAGGGATTGAACCCAGGTCTCTTGCATTGCAGGCAGTTTCTTTACCATCTGAGCCACCTGGGAACCTGGGAGCAAAACTGGCCAACATGTGTTTATGTGGTTTATGATGTTCGTCAAAATCCGGAGTCCAGGACTTCTACATATTTTTTTTTAATTTTTAAAATTATGCAAATATGATGACACATTTACAGAAGACTTGGAAAATACAGAACAAGGTTACATATAGTTCCACTATATATTACAATTAATTTTAAGTTGATAAATTAAGATTTTTAGATGGAGTTTCAATATCAAACTCTCAAAAATTAATAGAATGAAAGACAGAAAAGTAGAAGGATATAATAGACCTGAAAAAGCACTATGAACTAATTCAATATACTTAAGGTTTATATAATTTTCACACAATAGCAGCATAAAAAATCTATTCAAGTTCCCATAGACTAAACCAAGGGACAGTGGAACTTATCCAGGAACATAAAACAAGGTGCAAAAATTTCATGGTCTAAAGATATTGAAATCATACAGAGTCTGTTCTCTTATCACTGTGGAATTATGTGAGAAATTAAGTGTCCCTCTAAACTTTTAAATAAATACAATCCCAACACTCACTTGATCAGAGATATCCTACTCTTCCCTAGGTATGCCAACTCCTAAGTTTTACAGGAATTCATTTTATGCTCTGCCTTTATGCAGAGCAGATCTATCTCCCTCGGATAGAGGTTGCCTCAGTCAGCAAGAAGATTTGTGGAAATCTTGAGTTTCAAAATCTTCAGCCAACATTCCATTGCAAAACTGGTTATTCATGAGACTGGTCCAAAAAGCATTATGTGTGTTGCGCACATCTACCTAAGCAGTCTTATACTGTGTCAGCTCCAAATATTTCCCCGATACTACGCTCAGCTTTAAAAAACAAGTGGAGTTCAACCCATAGTTTGGGATTCAGCTCTGCAACAGAACTTGGACCTCAGTCACATCTGCCCTTCCATCAGATGTGGGACCTCTCACCACAGAAGAGAGGAACACCAAAGTTTTCATGGCTACCTTTCGTGTTTTCCTGATTTAGTGGTCATAATTCAATTTCTGTTTATTTCTATGTAATCCCTCTGAGGTCTCGTAAAAACTCACAGTCTTTAAAGTTGCCCTTGTTGCAACAACTGAGTGTCACAACCGCTTGTCCTTCCAACACTTTTTCTCTCTAGCTGCATTTCATCCTATGTCATCACAAATGACAATTGATTATTTGTGATCCCATCCCTCAGTATGGATTATCTATGCTCCAGTTCCCCCAAGAAATGTTATTATCACATAAAAGATATATATATAGATAGATGGAGATTAAACATCAATATATAGATTAGATAGATACAGATACATCTCCAACCTAGTCTCAAAATCTAATTTTGAAGATCTCTTTTCTGGGTCTTAAAAGGAAAAGAGTTAGCATATTCAATAATTTGAAAGGGGTTTATTTACAAAAAGATAAATAGTAGAACTATAATCTAGACTAATAGCAGCCAGGCAATGACAACCTCTGTGGAAACAGAAGTGAGCCATTATCAGACACAAAAGGAGAAAATTGTGTAGATGAGGCTGCATTGATGGGAGAGTAGCATCATTTAACACACACAGCAAGTCTTGGGTGACGTTACAGATCAGAGTCAAGGGAATACGTATATACTGCCATTTTAGCCGTCTCCTTATAACCTCTTGCCAAAGCACCAGAATGGCCATGCTCTAGAGTGCATGGGAGCCCTTTTGATAGAGTTCATATGAGTTAATTTCCTGGGCCAGAAATCAGATATATAAAAGTGGATAGTGGATCTGGGGTCACACAAAAGGTACGTAGTATATTTTTAATTTTATTTCCTTAGAGTTTAAAATAGTTTAACGCATCTGCAGGGTATTTGACTAGTTTGATGATGAGAGGATGGAAATGTGACTGAGTGCAAGTATGAAAGGTGACATGGATATGGTTAGTGTCATATTTCAGTCTTCAACGACTCTTCTCTTATTCTTTCTACTTCATTGTGCTTTCACCTCTGTTCAAATTGCTGGCAATCCATGAAATCCTAACTTCACTGCTTTATTCTTCCCTTCCTTTGCAACTGTTTTTCCTGGGACTGAAAGAGTAACCTGAAGATAGAGAATTCTCCATGAAATTGAATCAAACCCACCACACTGTGTAGAAAATATTTATGACAATGGAGATTTCAAGGACAGACATTTGTGGGTCAATGAGCCCACATCTACAGTTGGTTTCAAACTAACACTCATTTATTCTAGAGGAACTTCTGCATTCTCACATCGCCCACTGGTGGTCACCAGATGGAGAAAGGCTCGCCTTCCTAATGATAAATGATTCCTTGGTGCCTAACATGGTTATCCCTCGGTTTACTGGAGCTTTGTATCCCAAAGGAAAGCAGTATCCATATCCTAAGGTAAGTCATGTGGAAATAAATGCTAGTCTGTTCCCCTTCTCTCTGCACCAGTGAGTTGATCAATAGTATATTCTTGGTTCAGAAACAAGTTGTCTTCAGAGAATTAAAGAAACCCCCTTACTTGTCGACAGACTCACAATTTTAAGAGCATGCGATAGTCTATCCACTGTGCTTCCACAGGCACAGGTGAAGGTGATTCAAGATTGCAGGAACTTCTGCCTTATTTCTTTCCCTTTGATGCTCTCGGTCTTTATCTCTCACTTTCACAGCTGGAAAGAGAATGAGAAAACGTAAGTCAGCACTGATGCCAGGGCAGAGGTTTCTCTGAGGTATATTCTGTGAGCTGTTAGTAGGTATTATAAAGGAGCAAAAACTATCACAGTCAGATAAGCTGAGAATTCTCAGTTAAGAAAAAATTTAGTGTTTTTCAGATGATTTCTCAGAACAGTTAGTATACTGTATGCTAATGTATGTTATAAATCTCCTATACAAAGTAGACTAAGCATAAAGGATCTCCAGTAAGGAATAGACTAAACATAAAGAATCTCACTAAAAAAATAGACTAAACATAAAGAATCACCAATAAGGAGTAGACTAAGTCCAGAGAATTTATTAATGTTAATATTAACATCAGCATTCTTTTGGCAGAGCATACTCTGGAATATACTTTATAAAATGTTGGGCAGAGCCATAGCCAGGCATAGCTGGAATAGCTGGAATTGTTTTATCGTGTGAAGTGAATATGGAACTCTTGCCCAGATAGCAAAACTATTTTTTTTATGAGTAGCACAATTTCTCTTATTCCTAATGCTAAGTCCACAGGCCCTGACTCCACCCACCCATTCTTGCCATATCTTCTATGAAAACAAACTGATACCGAAGAACAAATAATGGATAACTTTTTAAGGAGTGATAGTGAGTTCTCATGATGAGAATTTATTATAAGTATTTTTCCTCAAAAGTGTTTAAATATTTTAATGTGATGTGAAGTCGCTCAGTCGTGTCCGACTCCTTGCGACTTCATGGACTGTAGCCTACCAGGCTACTCTGTCCGTGGGATTTTCCAGGCAAGAGTACTGGAGTGGGTTGCCATTTCCTTCTCCAACCTTTGCATCTCACATGAAACTAGAGAGAAGTCATATTCAGCATGGAGGTTTAGAAAAATCCCCCTCTTCTGATACCCTGAAGTCAGCCTTGGTCAGCCACAGAGTATATCCCCTTGTTACAAGGGGATAAATCAATTTGCCTTTTGAGTCTCTTGGTATATTTTTATTCAGCAAAGCTACTTTTAAGTGTTGGTAAGGCCTCTGAAAGCAGGCTGAAGAAACATCTGGAGTGTATTAGTTTTTCTTTTATATGTCATTTTTAATTAATGTCAGTCTTGCTTTAAAGCTCATTTTTCCCATGTTTACAAAAAAAGAAAAAGTGAAGTATCCCTAGACATTAGTCATGTAAAGATGTCTTATAGAAAACTTTTAAATTCCAGTTTACACATTTTAACTCTTGAGGAGATAAGAAGTGGCTGTTGATTTTATTTAGAAGCCGTTTTTAAGCTATTTCTTTAATGAGTTGTATGTTGTGTTTACAAAGTACAATAGACTGTATACCTTTAAATGTATGCATTACCTTAACTGTACTATGCATAGTACTGGAAAAATTATGCATCACATGCATTTCTACACCTGCAATGAAGGCATGGTCGGTGGGAGGGTGATGTGAATTTGCTGATATTCCTGTCATCCACAAGCCTCCTGGGGACAGGAGGAAGGAAAGGAGTGAATATTGAGAGGGATGAGAAGACTGTTTGCTCATGGAGATTCTGTGCTTTCTCTCTCCCCATCCCATCTTCCTTCTGGTAGCTGTAATATCAGTGTGACTGACTGGCAGCTATGGAAGGCAGCAGGATTGAGAAGAATGATTCTACCATTCTGAAATATCATTTTTAGGCCATTTTCTGGGCATAGATCTGAAAACACATATACTCAACAACTCCTGAGGAAAATATGGCACTTTGACCTAGCAACAAAATAATTATATCTCCCAAGACATTTGTATGGTACTTCATGTAAAATCCTTATGTCTTCTCCAGTTGTAGATTTACCCATGTTTTGTGGATGACAGTTTCTGCCAGTATAACATACCTGCACCTTTATTTTTACCAGGAAAAATCTGAAAAGACTTCTGAAATATATTCTCACCCCACTGGATTTACTTAAAATGAAAGTGTAAATACAATGTATTTACAATGTAAATACAAAATGAATAATAGGTCTTTGTTGTGAAAGCAACATGTCACTCAGGATGTCCAGTGTGTGCACTACATAAAGGGCATAAAATCAAATCCAGGGAAGGGACCGCTTTCTGGAATTAATTTCCCAGGAGAAGTAGGGATTTTAGGATTCACAGAAAAGCCATATCATAGCTGCATCTTCAAGTTGCCTTCTCTGTTACAGACTTGGTGCTTAAACTTGGACACTCCTGGGCCTGAAAATTTTATTGTCTATGGCAAATAAATGGACATATAAAAACATCTGAGAAAACCTAAATAAGTTAACAGTAAATCAGAAGATTCTGGGTTGACAAACCTAGACAATTTATTGCTATTTATGTTATTATTTAAATAATATTTCTTAGTAGTAAGTAGGCATAAAATTAAAATGTTTATGTATTAATTGGGTAAATCATGGATGCTAATAATATGCTATATATTTTCATAGAGACCTTTCACTTTTTTTCTTTATTTGGCCCTCTTCACAATTGCCTCTGGTTTACAAATGGGCAAAATAAGGCTCTAAAAGGCTATGTCCTTTTATAAAAGTCATAGTTATTTTGAAAACAGAGAAATAACTCAAATTTATTGATTCTGTCTCTCTCTCTCTGTAAAACTACCAGAGGTTAACTTGTATCTCAGAAGATGTAGCTGGAATCAAAATATCTCCTTGTCAAGTTAACAAATAGATGTGGGGCTCTGGTGGCCCCATTAGGTACAAATGACTCAGCTCTGCATGAGTAACTTTCAGAGACAGCATCAAACATGTTATGTGTGCGTGCTCAGTCGCTTTGGTTCTGCCCAGCTTGTGTGACCCGGCGGACTGTAGCCCACCAGGCTCCTCTGCCCTTGGGATTCTGCAGGCGAGAATACTGGAGTGGGTTGTCATGCCCTCCTCCAGGGGATCTTCCCCATCCAGGGATCAAACCCACATCTCCTGTCTTACAGTGGATTCTTTACCACTGAGCCACCGGAGAAGCCCCACACATGCTATATATGTAATGAATGTATATCTGCAGGGACTGCAACCTGTGCTTCTGGCATCCCCTGCATTGGCAGGCAGATTCTTGACCACTAACACCACCTGGGAAGCCTCATATCTAATGCATGATGTGTGTTACATAATAAAGGCCCTGAGTGCATTCATAACTACCATTAAGGAGTATTAAAAAGAAAGACAAGACATATATTATAGTGGCCAAAGAGAAAGAATTCCAAGTCCTCAGGTGGTTGTCAGTAGAAATAGCTGCAGGTACTTAAGGCAACAGAACTCGAAGAAACTAGTTTTGGGTTTTTATCCTATTCTCAGAATAAACTTCGGTATTGTTTTGGGTCTATTACTTGAATTTTCAAAATCTTATTATTTTCTACTATTTTCTACTAATTTTCTACTTATTATTATAATTTTTCTACTTATTATTTTCTACTAATTTTCTATTATTTCTTTTTTAAAAAAGAAATGTTTGTTAATTTTTCCACTAACAAATGTTTTATTTTGATTTGCTCTTACTTATGCAATAAACTTTCAAAAAGTTGTCCTTTAGAGTTTTCAGTAATGCATAGAATTCACACTAAATTGTTCTTCAAATTAAACTAGATTAAAATGAGTGCAGCAAATACCCAATGTGGTCAGATTTCTAATGAAATACTTACACTAAACAAATATATTTGTATTTTACTTAATTCAGCATGATTCAGAACTCATAAAATACCCCATCATTAGCAATTCAGCACAAAAAAGATACACAGTTATATCTCAATAACCTCAGGTTAATTTCTTAATTAAAACATTATCTCATTTAATGACAATTTAGTTGCCAGTAAAATAAGGTTAATTATTATTGAGGCTTGTGTTTCAGAATCATAGAAGGAGGATTCTGTGGATTTTCAGTCTTTGTAGCAAATTAACTATAAAAGCCCAATAGATGAACTCCTCTAATTTGCAAACTGTTGAAGCAATCCGGATATTAAAAGGTACAAGTGAATTTGCAATGTGCGCTTAATTTCAAAACTCCATGTAAAAAAATCAAATTGAGATTATAGAATTCTAAACAGCTGAATTTTAGAAACAGCTTAATGTTTGGTTTTGGCCACATGGAAGCTAACTGGAATACCAGTTATTCTTACAGTCTTATAGATCAGAAAAAAAAAAAAAACAAACTTCCTTACTTTCAACAAAGTATGTCATAAAATTATGCATCATTGATAAGAGTTCACAAAAACTGATCAGATTTAATATAATTTGTCATTCTTTAATCAGTTTACTGAAAGATTAAAAAATATAAGCACATTAAAAAAAAAACTAGAAAAATCAGTGTCTAACCATTATATTGAATTCATGAGTTAATTATTTAAGTAAATGTATACTATTTTGGAGAAGGAAATGGGAACCCACTCCAGTACTCTTGCTGAGAAAATCCCACGAACGGAGGAGCCTGATGTAGGCTACTGTCCATGGGGTCGCGAAGAGTTGGACACGACTGAGCGACTTCACTTCACTTATACTATTTTGGGCACCTTTGTAAATCATCGTTTTTGTTAGTCCATATAACAAAAGTCTGAGATGGTTGTTTTCCATAGAAGCAAAATCTATTTTGACTCAAAACTTCTGTGACATATTCTCAGAGAAACATTGTCTCATTTTTGATAATCAAATAAAATAATACTTTAGAATCTTTCATGTCTGATCCAAGGTCCATATTCAGTAAATAACAGTCAAAATTTGATCCCAGACTTCTCTGATTTGTAAACTGAACCAGTTCTCAAAATGTAGCCCTTTTACTAGCAGTATCAGCCACATCTGGGAAATAATTTGAAGTGCAAATTCTCACATTCAATCCAGACATTAGAAATGCTGCAAGTGGAGCTCAGCAATCATAGGTTTAATAAGCTTTCTAGGACCTCTGGATGATTTTCATGAAAGTGTTCACCTTTAATAACTGCTGAGCAGTAATATGTATCTATATGCAGATATATGCACATATTAATATATCAGTATTTTGTTAACATTTGCATACTAATTATAATTATCCAGGTATCTTCTTAAAGCCCAGGTTCTTAGATCCACACCCCAAGATTCTGATTCTGTGTATGAATATAGGTCCAGTTGGGGCCCATGAATTTGCTTTATAAAATTCTCATTTATTCTGCTGGCTAATGAACAGCATTTTGAATGGCATTGCTAAATACTGTGTCCCCGCTCTAAATCTGAGCATATTTGATCAAGATAAAGAAATGATTAGACTCAAAAAATACAGAAAATGACCAATACTTTCAGGGCGGAACATGGCAATTTAATTAGAACAAGTGATGTGAAAAAGAGTTCCTAAGGGAAGAAGAAGGGTATATTGCTCAAGACAGAGGAACCTAGGCACTGGAGAGTTTTAGAACAAAAAGCTTTACAAAATTTGACACCAGAGGCTTCTCTGCGAGGCAAGTTCAAGGCTTATTTTCCAGGAAGCCCTTCATCATACGAACCATTTTCATAATTTCTGTTTATGGTCACCACATTTCTAAAAGGAAAGCTTTTGCAGACTCCTTTCTTTGGATCATACTCCTGGCTTGTGTGTGATACACTTCCACAGATGTACTAGTCACTTTTTCTAAATGAAGACTTTCTTTTTTCAGAGCAGTTTAAGATTCACAACAAACTTGAGGAGAAGGAAGATATTTGTGCCATATATAACCCCTTTTACCACTCAACATCCCCCACTGGAGTTGTGCATTTGATACAACTGATGAAGCTCCACTGACACATTGTAATCACCCAAAGTCCAGAGTTGGCATTATGGTTCAAACTTGGTTCATGCATTCTATGAATCTGGACAAATGTGTAATGAAAGATACAGAGTATTTGTCTCAGCTCTATAAATCCTCTGTTTTGTCATCTATTCATCCCTCCTCCCTCCCCTCCATGTTCCTTATTTTTAATAAGTTAACAAGATATTCTTGATGAGCTATTACTGATTGTTGGTGGAACACAGCATGTTGCTTCTGGTCCTAATTTAACTCTGGATTTTGTTAGTAACAATTCCTTGAATGTGAATCTTCATTATCTTTATATCAGCTCTATTATTCTCCTTAGATTTTTGTCAGGTCTTTTAATTCAGCTCACTTTTTATTTCCTCGTCCTTCTTTGTATATCTCACGGGGCCCTCTCTTCACAAAGCAGCTAGACTACAATGATGATGGTGTGTTTTTTAGAAACACGTTGAGCTACAAGTAGTCTGTTGATTCTATTAATTATTTATTCACACAAACATCCTTTCATTTATCCAACATACTTGCAATACGTTGATGTAAGTTCCCAGGTCTGCTCCCTAAAGGTTCACAGTATATTTAAAAAACTTAGATGATGATTGCCTAGGAATGAACTGAAGCAAAACTAGAGCAGTTAAGAGCATCCTGGGGTTAAATACTGGCTCCCTTAGTTATTGGATGCTTCACCTTGAACAATTTGCTTAGCTTCTCCATCTGGGAAATGGTTTTAAATAGGTCTTAGGACTGTAGTAGGAACATACAATAAGATAATTCATGTGGTGCTTTAACACACATGAGGAGTCAGAAACATACTAACTGTTACACAGCCTAGTTACTATTTCACAAATTTTGATTTAATAGACTCAAATTACAGTTTCTTACCACTGTCTCTCTAGTCTTCAAGCTAGGTGCATAGTGAAGGCAATCTCCATTCTACATCCTAAGGGAATTTACACCTCATTTTAGCATTCGTTATAATTTAAAAGAAAGCCTGTGATGACTAATGCATGGAGTAGATTAAGTATTGTGGAATTTTAAACACCAGGATTTGGTATGTTTTCTTTTTCTTTCTTCTTCCTCTTCTTACTTTTAAATTAACCAAGCTCTCTTCCCTTTGCATTTCATATCCTATAGTGTGAGTTGTTTTGTAAAGCCAGCCATTCTAGTGTCATTCTAGGGGAAGAACACAGTAGTACTGCCTAATGAATAAAGTCATGATGATTTTCTATCACCTTTAATTGTCTGACTAAAATGCTTGAGAAGCAGCAATCTACAAAAACAATTGAAAGCAATCAAGTTGTTGAATTTAAAATCATTTCTACTTCAGAGAAATTAAATGTTTTCCCCATTCTAACACAAAATTGCAAAAGAATCAAAATGCATTTTCTTTCTTTCTCAATATATTCTAATGCTTAATGTATTTGCATTGCAACTTTCATTTTCTCAAAGGCAGGTCAAGTGAACCCAACAATCAAATTATATGTTGTAAATCTATATGGACCAACTCATACTTTGGAACTCATGCCACCAGATAGCTTTAAATCAAGGTATGTAATTTCAATTTCACTTTTACCAGAAAATAGATCTATTAACTCCAATGATCATTTTGTTGCCATTTGGAGAGAGATGTGATCAGTTCAGCAAATTCACTTGAAAATAAAACTGAGGTTGGCTCCATTAGTGTAAAAATGAACTCATTCTGGATCTCTTCTTTTTCCCAGGAAGAATTTAGAGTTTTAAGGTGATTACCAGCATCACAAAATGACTAAATATACTGATAGCAAGAATTAGATCTTCGGCAGGAGACACGTGTGAGAGAGATGGGGGCAAAGGATAATTTTCTATTGAATTTTCTTCCTGAAAATAACTGCTCCATATTTTTAAATGGCTCTCTTTAAAAGAGTACCATCTTCCTAAAATGTGTGTGATTTTCCAACTTTTTCCCTGTTAACTTGCCTATGATTCCCTAGCTTTGTTCTCTAGGCAGAAAAATTTAATGAGATTTTGCTTTAAATATCCTACCTAAGAATCCTGTTTCTTTAAGCTCTAGTAGAAACAAAAGAAACATATCATATGGGTCAAAAGCATCATTTTAATATTAGTAAAATCTCCAATAACTGAACAGCTAATGAAATAATCATGTGGATTGTGAAATCCACAGTGATCTCAAACTTCTAAATTGACTTTTCAAATTTTTTAACCTGGTAAAAATTTACAACATCCCTGGAGATTTTGCACTATGAGTGAGTGAAGTCGCTCAGTCATATCCGACTCTTTGTGACCCCATGGACTATAACCTACCAGGCTCCTCCATCCATGGAATTTTCCAGGCAAGAGTACTATAGTGGGTTGCCATTTTCTTCTCCAGGGGATCTTCCCGACCTTATATTTTACACTATATTGAATGATATAACTAAGCTTATAGTTTGTTTTTTTAATATCAAAAATAATTACAGTGTGACTGATTGATGTTGAAATCCCACTTAGTGTTCCACTGACATATTTAGGAAATTTTCATCATATTTGGGATTTTCACAGGTAGTGCAGCCTTCAATCTGTGGATATTTTTCCTACTTGAAGAGTTGTTAAAAATATATGTAATGCTTACACTGGAAAGGCCTCCATTAACTATCTAATATCGACTTTTCCTATTATTGATGGAAAAGATGAAGTCCAGAGAAAAAGTATGCTTGAGGTAGAATCTTAAGATTAGTTGGCAGGAGAGATAGAAAGTAAAATAAAACATCTTTCAAGTTATAGAGCATTTCATTTAGATTGTGATAAAAGACTTTTATCATAAAATTGTCAAATAGAATACAGTATAGTTGACCAAATCAGAAGAAACTTCCACTTCTGAACTCATTTACCAGCAGTGAAAGTTTACATGCAAATGAAGCAATTATGAAAATTATTATTTTTTGTGATCTGTACTTTAATTTGTTTAGTATTCTGAACTAACAGAAAGGGCACTAGACTAGAGTGTTTGAGTCATATGTCTACTACCACTTTATTATATGACTTTGGATAAGTCCCTTTATCTCTCTCTGGGCCTGAATGCCCTCATCTTAAAATAATAATTTCTAATTTTCATTAATTTTTAAAATATTTAAAATGGAAGTCAATTTTATAATGTCCAGATTTCTTTCTTGATGCTATTATTTAAGAGCCTCTCTAATGAGTTCACCAGATAAGACATACCAATGTCATCAAATACAAAAATTTCTAAAGGTGGAATCAACTGTCATTATTAGAGTATTAGTTAAGCACATATCTCTTTAATATTTGAGGTAAAATGTGATCAGGTTAGGTACCCATTGCAAAAAGATATTGCATATCTTTAAATGTTGGAAATCCAATATATAGAAATACAGAATGATATACTAGATCCCTCTAAGAATGAAAAAGCATCCTGTGAAGAAAAAGTTCTAAATGTAATTCAGGTATGTTGTTTTGGCAATGAATTTCATCTACATTTGGAAGAGTCAGGTAATACCTTATCTACACAATGTATGTAGCATGTTAGCATGTTTTGTTTTTCTTTCATAATTATGTAACTTGGAGTAGGAAATGGCAACCTACTCCAGTGTTCTTGCCCGGCAAATCCTATGGACAGAGGACCCCGCAGGCTACAGTCCATGGGGTCACAAAGTGTTGGACACGACTTAATGACTAAACAACACAATTATATAGCTGCCATTTGTTATATGTGAAGTGCACCAAAGTGTATGATTTACTCTTTATGTTGTAAAACTCAAAATCAAAGTTTACTTCAAAATGGTGTTTTCAAATATTCCCCGTGCTTCAGTTTTCATGTTTCCTTACACATTTCCTTATTCATTCATTCCTGATGAACACTTTATTCCAATTTCCTATCACCTATATTTAGCCTCTCTGAGCACAGGTGTGACTTTAATGGGTCTAAAAACACACAAGCATGAACAACATAGAAATATACCTATGGTGCAAATCAAATAATGCTACATTTATCTGCATATCAAAGGGAAATTAATCTAATACTTTCTCTTGATTTTGTTTTAGGATTTTCAGTATCTATAATAGCTAATACTCAGTACTTTAGCCATATGGAAATTTGCTAGAGAACTATTGTGCCCTCCCTGGTTAGATACACATCTGAGATCTAAGAGTTATCATTTTCATAATTTATTGGTCAGGGTTCTGAAAATTAAAAAGATGACACACACAAGCGGGGCAATTGAAATGCATTAATTAAGGGAACTTTAGCAAAGATATGGGAAGGATTAAAAGGAAACTCACAAGGGACGGGAATGCAACAAGAGAGTCTGCAATAGCCGAAAGCTTATACTGCCCCAGGACTGAAGGAACAAGGGGCAGGCTACTCAAGAAGCCTGCAAAGGCCTATAGCAAAAGAACAGGATGGATCAGCAGGTAGAACAATTTAGTCATTGCCAAACCAGATCCTAATGGGGAGAGAGTGCCCAGAAAATAAAACTGAATCCTCTCTGCTAAAGCTTTGAGTTCCTCCAGAGGTCTCTCTTGGGCTAGGGAACCTGGTGACAGAGTCCAGGCTCTGGAAACGGTGGGAGCAAGGGACAAATGCCAGACTAGATCTGGCAAATGGAGAATATTCAATGCAAATGATTTAAGGATAATGTTGACCTTAAGAAATTTATTATGGTTATTACTTTAGGGGTGAGTTGGAGATGTCCACCAGGATGCACAATAATTTATCCGAGGCCAAGTGAACAGTTGTTCTGTCCCTGTTTCTGGTTCTGTTTCTGTCCCTGGGTCTTTTTCTCTGTCTTTGTGTATGTATGGTGTGTGTGTGTGTGTGTGTGTGATGTGTGTTTCAGTCTCTCTCTCTCTTCCTCTCTCTACACACACACACAAACACACACACACCCAAGCATATACATACACGATGATTCATCTTAGTATTATTTGTGCTTTTCCTGAAAACTTGCCATATTTTTCTCAAATGCATTGTAGATTATGTAACTGTTTCAACTGCATCAGTGTCCTTTGGACATGGAGTTTACCATAGGTGACAGTTTGTTCTGTGTGCTGAGTCGCTTAGGTCATGTCCGACTCTTTGCAACCCATGGACTGTAGCCTGCCAGGCTCCTCTGTCCATGGGGATTCTCCAGGCAAGCATACTGGAGTGGGTTGCCTCCAGGGGATCTTCCCAACCCAGGGATGGTACCCAGGTCTCCCGCATTGCAGGTGCATTCTTTACCATCTAAGTCACCAGGGAAGCCCTCTGTGGTACTTTAGGTATCCTTTATAACTTATTTTCCTTTATCTGTCTTCCCAATCTTATTTGCCGCGATATTCTTAAATCATTCAAAACTAACAAAACCTCTTTATTTTTGTAACTGTTAGATATATGGGTGTGAGCTTAGTTGCTCAGTTTTGTCCAACTCTTTGCAACCCCTTGGACTGTAGCTTGCCAGGCTCCTTTGTCTATGGGTTTTCTCCAGGCAAGAATACTGGAGTGGGTTGCCATGCCCAACTCCAGGGGATCTTCCCCACCCAGGGATTGAACCCAGGTCTCCCACACTGCAGGTGGATTCTTTACCATCTGAGCCACCAAGGAAGCCCCATTAGATATATAAATATACAAATTAGTTTATTGGTACTAACACTAGTAGCAATACTTCCATATTTATTAGGTGCAGTATTCCCATAGATATCAGAGAATTTAGGTATGAACTTAAAAATATATAATTAACTTTTAGAGGAAATATTTTTATAATAATGAATCATGTAGATTTTTCTACAGGGTAGCAAATTGTCACATTGTTTTGGAGAAGTGATCGTCTCCTGTGTTCGTTCATCTCTAGGCTGAAGAATAAAGATAATGGTTTATCTTTAGGTTCTCCTTACTCTCCATCTTTGACATTATTTTGTTTACCCGAAATCTTTCTTTAGTCATCCACCCTTTGTGACCCATTATTTTCAGACTGTTTCATTCATGTGATGCTGTCAAACTGCCACTGTCACTTTGGGCTTAAAACTCCTATGCTTTTTCTTCCTATTTAATCAAAACATGTCTAGTCTGCATCTCTTATTTTTCCAATGAATATCTGTGCCTTCCAAAAAATATAATTAATAAATGTATCTTGGTTAGGGAAATGACCCTTTTTACAAGTAATGCATGTTTACTATTAATAACAGAGGTCTACAGAGGACCTAGCTGTGACTTAGTCATGAATGTCATCACAATACGCTTATGGGCAGAGATCTTGGATTATCTGGAAGCATGTGAGCGTATGTGCACAAAGATTGTTGTGAACAAAGGGGAGCGATTGGACAGGAAGCCAGTGAAAACACAGGTGTGACTGCTAACACACCTGTCTGCTGGTGATGCTGGCACCTCCATTCCACACACTCTTGTGAACAATTAGATCTCCTGTACCAGACCACCCAGCTAGTAGAAAGTCTTTCTTGACTTGAGTGCAATCCCTCTAACCCGCTTGTTTCTGTCTCTGTGGCTCAAGAGGACCCGAGAGATCCTTGAGAACTTCCTGGGTAATCCAGAGCCACGGAGACTAGGAACAAGCAGGAAAGCCCTTAGAAGGAAGGGACAGTTTTGCTGGCCACTGGTTGTGGGACCCCAGATCTAATGCGTTCATGAGATGAAGTTCCGGGAGGACAACCACATTTGCAGCAGGCAGGCCAAATAGTGTGGTATTTTCAGGTAAGGGCACATCCTTACTTCCTCATTCAGAGGAACCCTAAATATTTATATGCAAACTGAAGAAGTCTTTATGAATCATGAGGAGATGTGCACCTAGGATCTTGAAACAAAGAAAGAAAGAATATGGGATGTGATCTTCCTTCTCTTTTTAGGTGTCAGGTTCTACTTTATCTTTCATTTTGGGGATTTCCAACACTTTATCATGGAGATTTCAATGGTTTGAAATTATCCCAATGGACTTTACAAGTTTTATTTTGTGGAGAACTCTAATCCTTATGAATATATATATTAAAATGTCTCACATAAGACTAAATTTTGCTTATGAATGTAAGATACATTATGCACAGATGCAGAAAATAATCATATTATTTGATCAAAGAGAAATATAAGTGGTATGATTATAAATAATAATTTTAAACTTAATTTTACACCTAAGTTACTTTCCTTTTAAAAATCATTTATTCAACAGACTTGCACCAGTTGAATTTTGTTTTTAATTGAATTTTAATTGTTTTTATAAATAAAAATTTTCTTTTAAGTCAAGATTTCCTATCATAGGTAACAAATATAATGTATCAGTATCTGGGAAGACATTGCAAATATGTTCTTAAAACATTTCACTTGAGGACTATTTTGAAAGGAAAAACACTCAAAATGAATATTTAAATTTTATTTGTTGTTCCTGTTGTCTATTTTAAAAATCATTCATATTGGTTCTCATTTGGCACAAAATATACTACCACTCACTTTAGTTAATTGAGACAAGTTTCTGATCATTTATAAAATTCTTCTATGTGGCGTTATTTTTCAATGAATATAGTCACTTGATTTTGCAATCTATGATCAGTTGTTTTGTAACAATCAAATTTGTTTTCCTTCAGTTTTGAACTTTTATGCCAATTAATGATAAATATATATTATCTCAATTCAACATTTTTTCCTGATTGATTATAGTATCCATTATCATTTTTCTCCATGCTAAAATGTCTAAGTATTTCTTAAAAGGTGATGCTTATATTTTTTCCTTTTTAGTATTCACACTGCAAACATGATAATACACCTAAAATATATCAGTTTAAACAAAGCACAGTGAAAATGAACAAGATATATACATATAATTTTTTTTTTTTAAGAATTACAAGTTCCATTGATTTGGCCAAAGATTAATCCTAAACCAATTGCATATTTTATTTGAAGTTGCTTTGTTAACTTTATTTTGGGAATTTTATTCTATGACTTCATTGAGTTTCTAGGCAATTTTCATGTGGGACTCAGCTAGTTGTGAAAGTTACTGGATGTCTTGAAGACATTGTTGAAGAACATATGGCAGGATTCACTGTATAACAAGTTATGCTTATCCTTCCACTGATACTTTCTCTTTGATGAGATAACACATTTTCTAGAGATAGCACTAACTACTCAATTATGTTAGAAATGTGAGATTCAGGTAGCTGAATGTCTAACCCAGATGTGTCTAAGAACAAAAGGTTTTTCTTTCATAAGTGTTTTTCTTCTAAGCCATATAAAAATCTGATGGATTAATTTTAAGACAATATACATGGATGGCATTTTTCAAACTATTTCTAAAGCATTCCATATATTCTTAAACTGGGCAATTTTGTTAGATTTTTCTTATCATAAATTGAATTATGGATGAGTGCATTTGTTATGTGTGGATTGGAGGATTTTGTGACATATTATGTAAATTTCCAAACATAGACTCTATAATGAAAAAAATATAAACTGTAAGGGAAAAATATAACTTTCCCCAATCTACAACCAATCTGAGGACATCATAGTCATCATAATTAGTATCCTCAATAAAGCAAAAATTCAGTAGCTCTTCATTACTCTCCGTTTGATTCTTTGTACACTTTAAACTTTTTCAAATAAATAAGCTAGAAAAGCAATATTGTAAGAAGTATTATGAATAAGATAGAGTGGCCCCTGTCCCACAAGCAAAAAGACAAAAGAAACTATTCATGACACTGTATCTCAAGTCCCTGTGGATAAAGTGAGATGACGTGGAAATCATACCTAAGAAATAATTATTAAGCCAATAATAAGATTTGGCTTTTGATTTATTATTGAATATTTTTGAAAAAGTAAAATAGAATATAGCTTAGAAAGTTTTTACTTATTTTGCATATATGTTAGTACTGTGCAAATCAACAGAAAATAACAAATTATTTATAAAGGTGTAGCATTTTGATTATTTTTACTTTTCTAAAAATGTTCTTTCTGTGAAATCATTCACTTTTAACAGTCTCAGATTGGCTGTATATTTGTAAATGTGCATGTTTACATATATATGTATACACATAATTTGTATTTATTATGTCAATACTTGAAGAAGCACATGTTTATGTATATATAGAGAGAGAGATTAATGTGATATGACATCCTTATAGTGTTTCCTTTATTCTGCATATAAAATAACAAGTGTAACTTTTGGAACTATGTAGATTCTCTGGCTCTAAATGTAAATTCTAATTTTGTTTCCAAACTAGAGAATATTATATCACTATGGTTAAATGGGTAAGCAACACCAAGACGGTGGTCAGATGGTTAAATCGACCTCAGAACATCTCCATCCTCACAGTCTGTGAGACCACTACTGGTGCTTGTAGCAGAGTAAGTATAATTTGCTTTTCTTTATGCTTAAAATAAAATCATTTATGCTACCTCTCAAAGGAAAATTAAACAGTCATTTGTGCAAAGACTTCAATATTTAACTCTGAAGGTAGTAGAATAGTCATTCTATTAGCAATGTATACTTAATTCATACGACTTCCATACTTTGAAGTAAGAAATACAGATGATAAACCAAAGAGAATAAATTAGGCTTTAAAACAATGAATTCTTATATAATATAAAAGATAGTCCAAGCCATGTTTCACTCTCATATATGAGCTTTCTCTCTACATTTTGACAGTGATTAACTTGAGAACATGGGATGTTTCTTTTCTGTCTTTTTAAAACACATGCCAAAAAATTCAGTGTTTTTCTGTAGTTCAGATTAGTCTTCTAAAAAAGTGTCTCTGTCTTTAAATTAATTGAAAATAGTAAAAAAAAAAAGATCCTTGAATATCTTTTGAAAGTATATTGTATTTCAATTCTATAATCATGTTTTATAAAATATTTAATAGATTCTGTATGTATAGTTTTTAAGATCCTTAGTAAAGGAGATACTTTAATAAGTTTAAATTGTTATAATACGTATTTGATATTTGGTAAAGAATTCTCAATTATTTAACAACAGAATTTTCAGACTTATGCTTCTGGATATGATGGAGTAAATGTTGCCCACCTAGTATCTCTACAGCAATCAATTATAAAACTTTACAAAATACATTAAACAACTATAGTCAGATTATGGACAATAAGACTATTGAGACATGAAAGGTGAAATAAACCTGTAGTTTCCTACTGGTGGCACATTTGAGGCCACAGTGTAAGGTAATGGCATCCGAGAAAAGCACAACTGATCCATCAAGACAAGGAGAATTGGTTTGACACTATTGTGGCTGAACCTTGTAGGTCAAATACCACAGGGTGGGAGCAATATAGAAGAGAACTTCAGCAAACTATGCAAAGGATCTCTTAAGTCTTTATCTCAGTACTTAGCTGTGTAAGTACAGGGCCTATCTCAAAGAGAAGCAAATAGAGAATATGCAAGTTGCAGAATGCTTGGAGACTTTGGAGCAATGAACCGCAAAAATAGAGATCTTTCAGTAAAAGCCCTGAGTTCAACTCAGAGCCCAGAAAGAAAATGTATTAGGAATAAAGCTATTGTAAACTCTTTCTAATAAACCTTTAAATTAAACCTTGAAGGAATTGAGTTCATTTGCTTGTGAACTAGCTGCCTGACAGAACAGTGTACTCTTCAAAAAAAATAAAAATGAATTTTCAACAACTTAGCATTCATGATGTCAATCATGCAATTAAAATATTCTATACACATAGAAGCATAGAAAACTTAACTCACCCACTTCACCAAAAATAAGTAGCAGACTTACAAAGGATGCAGATATTGGATATTAACAAACACACTTAAAAAAAAAAAAAAAAGCTTTTAACTGTTTTTTTATTTAACAAATTAAAGAGTGGCTATAATTAGTAAACAGATGAAAAATCTCAGTAGCTAAATAAAAACTATGAGAATAGAACAATGGAATTTCAGGGACTGAAAAATACAGTGTCTGAAATTAAAAATTGCTTGGATGAACTTATCAACAAATTAGATTCTCCTATAGTAGGGGAAATAGAAATAATTCAAACAAAATTCCTAAGGGAAAAAGGCTTGGAAAAAAATAAACAAAGCCTTAATTACCTATAAAACAATATAAACTGGTATAATATGTTAAATTATATATATGTTAAATTATATATACAGAAGGCAAATTTTAAGATATTGGGGCAGAAAATATATAAGAAACACTGACTTAAATATCTCAAATTTGGTGAAAAACCATTAATCCATATATCCAAGAACTTAGCAAATCTCAAAATAAAGATAAAATATGTCAGCACATACTACCTAAATTATTTCAAACAAAAGATTAAGAAAAAAAAATTTAAGTACCCTGAGAGGAAAAGCACATTACATATTGTGAAATATAATGATGAGTAATACTGCTTCTGTCTCACCAGAAACAATGCAAACCAGTAAGCAATGGAAAGACATTGTTAAAGGACTGAAGGAAAAAATGTATCAAACTAAAAGTCTATATCCTATGAAAATACCCTGCAAAAATGAAGACAAAAGATAATAGATTCGGATAAACAGGAACTGAGATAATTCATCAAAAGTAGGTCTGCAGGAAATAGAGTTATTTAGGCTAAAACACATGATATCAGGTGAAAACTCAGATCAAAATTAGAGAAGTACAGGTGCCAAATATGATAAATGAGCGAGTAAAATAAAATACATTATAGTTTTGAGCTTTTTGAAAAGGTATTAGAAAAATAAAAGTTTTAATATTAGTAGAATAATTTAATAATGATAGTGTCAATTGATAGGAAGATATAACAATTCTAAGTACCTATATTTCTAATAATAAGGATTCTAAATACATAAGCAAAATTTATAATCAAAAGCTGAAAAAGCTAAAGAAGAAATAGAAATATACTTAGGGACTTAAATATGATTTTCAGTGTATTTGAAGAAATGAATAATCAAAAAGTCCATAAATATAATAAAGGATTCAGACAATACTAACAACTTAAATTGATATTTAGGAAAATTTCATTCAATGGCTATATAATCAATAGTCCTTTTGAGTACAAAGGAAATATTCACAAGTCTCAAAATGTTGAAGCTGAAATCAAGCAGAGTATATTATTTGACTACAAGAGAATTAAATTAGAAATTGGTAACACTGGAGAAGAGTATGGCAACCCACTCCACTAGTCTTACCTGAAGAATCCCATGGAAAAGGAGCCTGGAAGGCTATAGTCCACAGGCTCAAACAGAGTCAAACATGACTGAAGCAACTTAGCATGCCTGCAACTAAAGAATATTTGGAAAATATTTGAAAATTTAAAAAATGCTCCTAATAACTCATAAGTTAAAGGACAAATCACAAAAACATTAGAATTCAAGCACAATGAAAACATAACTTGTCAAACTATTATTATGTGGATGAAGAAAATGATATATACTAAAATGGAGTTTATGTCTTTAAATGCTTATATTAGAAAAGGAAGAAGGTATTCAATCAATGATAAAGCTCTAAGTTATGAAGCTATAGAAAGAAGTATAAATTTAGTTCAAAGCAATTAGAAAGAATGAAATATGAAAATAAAATCACAAATTAATTAAACACAAAACAATCTATAGAGAAAATCAGTAAAAGCAAAAATTATTTTTAAAAGATGAAAAACCTGATGAATCCTATGTGTACTGATGAAAAAAGAAATATCTCCCAAAGTGCCAGTTTCAGGGTGAAAGAGTCTATGTGGATATATTGAGGGCATTTTTCATAGAATTAGAACTAATAACTTTGAAATTTGTATGAAAAGACAGAAGGTTTCCAGACAGCCAAAATAATCTTGAGAAAGAAGAGAGCTGGAGGTATCACACTTCCTTGAGTTCAGATGATGCTACAAAGCTGCAGCAATCAAACCAGAATGGTACTGGCACACACCAGACATGGTCCGTGGAACAGAATAGACGGGCTGGAAAGAAACCCACACACCAGACATGGTCAGTGGAACAGAATAGATAGGCTGGAAAGAAACCCACACACCAGACATGGTCAGTGGAACAGAATAGATAGGCTGGAAAGAAACCCACACACCAGACATGGTCAGTGGAACAGAATAGATAGGCTGGAAAGAAACCCACACACCAGACATGGTCAGTGGAACAGAATAGATGGGCTGGAAAGAAACCCACACACCAGACATGGTCAGTGGAACAGAATAGATGGGCTGGAAAGAAACCCACACACCAGACATGATCAGTGGAACAGAATAGATGGGCTGGAAAGAAACCCACACACCAGACATGATCAGTGGAACAGAATAGATGGGATGGAAAGAAACCCACACACCAGACATGGTCAGTGGAACAGAATAGATGGGCTGGAAAGAAACCCACACACCAGACATGGTCAGTGGAACAGAATAGATGGGCTGGAAAGAAACCCACACACCAGACATGATCAGTGGAACAGAATAGATGGGCTGGAAAGAAACCCACACACCAGACATGGTCAGTGGAACAGAATAGATGGGCTGGAAAGAAACCCACACACCAGACATGATCAGTGGAACAGAATAGATGGGCTGGAAAGAAACCCACACACCAGACATGGTCAGTGGAACAGAATAGATGGGCTGGAAAGAAACCCACACACCAGACATGGTCAGTGGAACAGAATAGATGGGCTGGAAAGAAACCCACACACCAGACATGGTCAGTGGAACAGAATAGATAGGCTGGAAAGAAACCCACACACCAGACATGGTCAGTGGAACAGAATAGATAGGCTGGAAAGAAACCCACACACCAGACATGGTCAGTGGAACAGAATAGATAGGCTGGAAAGAAACCCACACACCAGACATGGTCAGTGGAACAGAATAGATGGGCTGGAAAGAAACCCACACACCAGACATGGTCAGTGGAACAGAATAGATGGGCTGGAAAGAAACCCACACACCAGACATGGTCAGTGGAACAGAATAGATGGGCTGGAAAGAAACCCACACACCAGACATGATCAGTGGAACAGAATAGATGGGCTGGAAAGAAACCCACACACCAGACATGGTCAGTGGAACAGAATAGATGGGCTGGAAAGAAACCCACACACCAGACATGGTCAGTGGAACAGAATAGATGGGCTGGAAAGAAACCCACACACCAGACATGGTCAGTGGAACAGAATAGATGGGCTGGAAAGAAACCCACACACCAGACATGATCAGTGGAACAGAATAGATGGGCTGGAAAGAAACCCACACACCAGACATGGTCAGTGGAACAGAATAGATGGGCTGGAAAGAAACCCACACACCAGACATGATCAGTGGAACAGAATAGATGGGCTGGAAAGAAACCCACACACCAGACATGGTCAGTGGAACAGAATAGATGGGCTGGAAAGAAACCCACACACCAGACA